ATTGATATATACATATATGTATATATATATGTAAGTAGAGATTCATTTATACACGTCTTACACATTATATTCTCACAAAATTTTAACCATTCATCTTTCTACCTTCAATAGTTGAAATTTATTATGACTTTTTAAATAAAAAAGATAATTATTATTATTAATAAATATGATAAAAAGTAAATAAATCTTAATCATTGAACATGAAGAGAAGAATGGTTAAGTTATTGTGTAAATATAATGTGTAAAATTTATATGTAAGTGGATCATTACTTTATATAGACTGTTTTAGTTTTTTTTGTGATACTTTATTAAAATGACATAGTTTTAAGTGTTCCTTCACCTAATTGTTCTTTGCAAGTCTTGGCTAATATTTAGACATATATATATATATATATATATCACAACTAGGATTTTGACTTTTTTCAACCAACTATTTTCCAATGCAATCTACCCTAGAAAATAATATACTAATTTCTAGCCTTTAGCATTGGAAATTAGAGTTTAATATAAAATATCTAAAATTTATAAATAATTTTGAAGCAAGACTCATTTTCCAACATCAAGCATTGGAAAATAATTTAGTATTATAATTTGGTTTGCCGTCTTCTTATTTTCTAGTGCCCAGTATTGAAAAATAATGTTTTTTGTATTGCTATTGACAGAGAAAATTTTCAAAAAAAAAAATAATTTTTTGACTTCTTTATTCCCATCGGATAGCATCCCATTGGTTTGCCGTCTTCTTATTTTCTAGTGCCCAGTATTGAAAAATAATGTTTTTTGTATTGCTATTGACAGAGAAAATTTTCAAAAAAAAAAATTTTTGACTTCTTTTTTCCAATGCAAAATGCTAGAAAATGTTTAAAGCTATCAAAGTTAAATGCTAGAAATGAGGTGCAGGTTTGTTTCTAGTGCTTAGTGCTGGAAAATAATCCTACCCAAGTTGTATAGGTTATTTCCTAGCGCTTGGCATTGGAAAATAATCTTGCCCAAGTTATACAGGTTATTTTCTAGTGCTTGGCACTAGCAAATACTCTTGTCCAATTGGTTTAGGTTATTTTCTAGCGCTTGGCATTGGAAAAAACTCCTATCCAATTGGTATAGGTTATTTTTTAGTGCTTGACGTTGGAAAATACTCTTGTTCAATTGAGTCAAGTTATTTTCTAACACTCAGTGATGGAAAATAAGTCTATTAAGAAGTTTAGTAACCATATATTCAAGTATCTTTTCTTTTTAAAAATTCAAAATCCTACCTATATTATTTTCCAACGCCTAGCACTAGAAGATAATTTTATTTGAAGTTTGGAATCTAACGTTCAAGCGCCATTTTTTCCTGTAAAATTTTTAAAATCCTACTCACATTATTTTCTAGCACTAATCAGTGGAAAATAATATTTATATATATAAACCTCCAACTTTCCCCTTCCTCAACATTCTCTCCATCTTCTTCTTTCTTCTCTTTCATTTTTCTCATCCTTTATCCGAATTCAATTTCTTTTTCTCCTTTATTCCTTTACTTCACTCATATATTTTACTTTCTCATCTTAATCTTCCCTTTCCTCCTCTCCACTTCCTCTTCCTTTTCCTTTTCCATTTTATCTTCATTTCTTCTACTTTCCTTCTTGCTTTTCTCTTGCTTCCTCCATTCCTCCTTCTTTTCCTCTTCCTCTTACTTTAATATGTTACTTGAAATAACATGTACTATTCATTTTAATTTATTGGTAGTTTAATTTTCAATTTTCGTCATATCTTTCCTTATCAATAAACTCTCATACATGTTACTATTTAAATTTTTTTATATATTTTAGGTGTTTTTATGAATTACATGGAATTGAAGTATATTTATGTATTTAATTTCATTTATTTGGCAATATTTATTAAATTATATGTATTATGTAATGTTTTATATAAGATTGTGTTTATAAAGTAAATGTATTAAATATAATTGTTTATGTGTAATTAATTTTAATATATTATAAAGTAGTGTTTTATTATTAACATTTTATGTATTTAATTTCTTTAATTTTAATTTTTATTTGTTTTATGTGTATTTAGTGTATTTTAGATTTTTGTATAAATAATCTTTTTTATATAATATTGATTAATATATAAAATATTGTTTTATGGTTAAATTTATTCATATTAAATATTATTTTGTATTTTTAAATATTTACGAATTGTATAAAATTATAGTAATGTAAAAATGATTTTTTTTTAAAAAAAATTTGGATATTATTTTCTAGAGTTGATCGTTGGAAAGTTGATGAGAACCCCAAAGAGAACAATGAGACCCACAGCACGACAAGGATTTCTGAACTCCAGGAAAGCTAAATCAGGTTTATAATAGGACCTTGACTCGTTGTTTATGTCGCAACAAGAACCAAAGGTAAAAACCTTGACCTGTTGTCTATGATGCAACAAGAACTAGAGGTATAAAGTTGGTTGACGCCACACCTCGAACGATTAAGAACGAGAATGATAAGTCAGGTTAGAACGCCACAAGAATAATCTTGATAAGTTCTGTAAATTTCTGAAACGAACCAAAGAGAAAAGTCTCTCAAAATCTCAGATTCAATAGTCTCCTCCCCATTAGGGTTACAAGCTTTTTAAATAGAGAAAACATCCTAGTCAGAATAGGAAATTAACACCATAAGTCCTAAACCTAATAACCACGAATTAGGCTTCAAATAAGCAAATGTTCAGCCCAAAAATAATACAAAAAACGTGAAAATCACTAAAAATAACCTAAAATAACACGAAATATCAGTTTGCTACAAATTGCGGTAGAATTGTGCGATTTTGATGCGAACTGTATAATTCCGTGCAAATGACCTCAACTAGGCTTCTCTTGAACCTGAATGATGTTTACCACACCTTGATAATCATCCAAGCTTTGATTTGCTTGTTCTATGTTGTTTTCAACCCATATCTGCTCAATAAGGCCATTTAAAACTTTACGCATCTTCTTAGCTCCAGCTCGCGTGACTAGACCTCCTTGGGTGTGTAATGGATCACATGACGTAGTAGATATGCTGTCGTCTTGATTCCCATTATTCCCTCTCTCCCCAAAAGGATTTGTCCTCAAATCGTCACCTATATCAAAAGGAGAAAGATCAGAAACATTAAAAGCAGCACTAACATTATATTCACCAGGAATCTCCAACTTGTATGCATTGTCGTTTATCCTTGCAATCACTTGAAATGGTCCATCGCCTCTTGGTTGCAACGTACAACGCCTTTGTGCAAGGAATCGTTCCTTCTGCGTATGCACCCAAACCCAATCTCTAGGTTCAAACACAACTTTCTTGCACCCTTTGTTGGCTTGATTTGCATATTGCTCAGTTTGTTGCTCTATGTTTTGTCGCACCCTCTCATGTAGTTGCTTAACCACTTTAGCTTTCTTTTTCCCATCCAAACTAGCTCGTTCATCAATGGATAATGGCAATAAATCCAAATGGGTGAGTGGATTAAAATCATATGCAACCTCAAATGGCGAACAATTAGTTGCTGAATGGATGCTCCGGTTGTAAGCAAATTCAACGTGTAGCAAACACTCTTCCCAATTCTTCAAGTTCTTCTGAATAATAGATCGCAATAAGGTTGACAACGCCCTACTAACCACTTTTGTTTGTCCATCAACTGAAACAAAATACCCTAAAAAG